GTCCGGTACCGGGGCGACACTGAGGGTTGCGATCCGTTGCCGGACACGGAAAAAGACAAAAAAAAAAAAAAACCCTATGTGACAGATTTTTCCTTAAACAATGAGGTGCTTGATTACACATGTCACTGTACGTAGCTAATGATTCAGGCCTGTGATCCTGAAGGTGGGTACCTTATCAGAGTTGAAGTCACTAGATATTAGTATGTGCCTATCTGAGATAAAACTATGCATTTAAGAAGCTTTTATTTGATAACTTCATGATCCAAGTTAGCATTCCCAACTGCATTTTATGTGCACATGTAACTGCTTACCTTAACATTTGGGAGGTTGTTCCAGGTCTATACATTTTTCTTTTTAGGGGGAGCAGCTGGCCTATACCAGAACTTTGGTATTATAACACCATGCTCTAACCAACTGAGCTAACTAGCCAGCCCCCAGGTCTGTTCTTCTTGGGATTCAAATTAACTGCCTTTTTTCTACCCAAGTTCAGTGACTGATTTATAGTGATGGTGATGATGTTGCATTTTACAGTTCTTATTCTGGATACATATCAGAAGCCAATGTAGTTTATCTAAATTATCAAAAGTACTGATTTAAAAGAGGTAGATAAATAGGTACTGATTTGAAAGAGGTAACATTTGGGGATTTAGCATAATCTGGAACAAGAATAGAGGACCTAGAGTGCTATCCCAACTTGCAAATAAGAGAGAATTTTTCCTCATCTCTCTTCTGCTGTTGTACATGGAGCCAGTGACCTGTGTAAGCACTAGCTCTTGGAATTATTAAACAGCCTTAGAAATATATTTTTTGGATTTAAAGAATGGGCATCCCTGGAAGCTAAAGGACCTGACTTTAGGAATTTATCCGACAAATGTGCTTACCTAAATATTTGTAATGAAAATTTCTAAATGCTTACATAAGAAACTTAACTGTATTTATTCTTTTTTTGAATACTATCAGGAAACCTGAGAAAGTAGAGATTTTTGTATTCTTTACACCCTTGGATACTGTGGACTTTTTGAAAAGGTCTTATATTATACTTTGTAGTTGAATAGCTATTTTTTTAATATCATAAGGAAAGATAGTTTTTTTGGTTTTTTTTTAAGAGCATGTTCAGAAGTTGTAGGGAGTTAAGTTCAGTTTGTCACTTCTACTGCTTGTTAGCTGTATGATCTTGGGAAAGTTACTTACCCTTTTCTGATAAGCGGTTTCTTCAAGTACTGGGTAAAATTGGAATAACAATCATTCCTAATTCACAGGAATGTTATGAATAAAGCACTGAGGATAGTGCCACACATTGTGCCTAATAAATTTTAGCTCTTGGTAATAACCTCTTCCTGAGAATACCCCGAAATGAGATTATTGGGGCCAGATGTATCTACCTATATAATGGAGCTATCTAACTGTGCTAAACAAGGGTAGACATTCTCCTGCAAAACTGTGTATAGCAGGCATCTTACTTCTGTTGTATGAAGCCTCCAGACTGAGGTTCTAACTCCAACGTTGCCTTTGTATTCCAGTGTTCTCTTCTGTTGCTAGAGAAATGGCTGCGAAGTGAACATGCAGAGTTTTTTGTTTTCATTATTAAAGATCTCTCATGACCCATTAACCACCTATCCTTCTTCCATAATTTTTATACATTATTGTCATGCCCAGCTAGATAGATGCTCTGAAAAAAATAATATTTACAATGGAAATCTAAAATATCATTTTACTTGATTTTGCTAGACATACCTTTAAATAATTTTCTAAGATGTTCTCCTTGTGTCATAGAAAAAGCTATCTTTCACTTAAAGCACATCGTTGAAAAAAATGAACTTTTTTTTTCTGGTATATGGATTTTGTCTCGTTTTCCAGGAGGAGTATAATATCTTGCAAAAGCTGTATCAATTTAAAAAGCCTGGAGCGAACCTAACAGAGGTATTTCCCCACTTGCTTCTTTTGGGTTTTATCCATTTATCATGTATCTAATAATATCTTGCAACTTATTAGAGTGATCTCAGAGGACTGTCCAAATACTGTGTGTGTGTGTGTGTGTGTGTGTGCGCGCACGCGCGCGCGCGCGCGGTGGTGAAGCCCTCAGTACTTAAAAATCATGTTTTAACTAATTGAAACAAGATTTTTCACAGTAATGGGATTTTGCTTGTCTTTTGGAAGAATCACTGTATAATCTCAGCTTTGTAATGTATTTAAAGGAAGAGTTGGTAGATATTGTTGATACTCGAATTCATCAATTAGAAGATTTAGAAGCTACTTTTGCTGATTTATGTGATGCTGATGATGAAGAAACTGTTCAGAGATGGGCTTCAAACCCTGGGTAAGACCTCCAAACATTTTTCCCCAATTCTGCAAACTTTCAGTCCTTGGTATATTCCTAAGTTTGTTAGGTAAATTGGTAAATTGCTTTGTAAAAATTACTATTAAATTTCAACACAGATTTACTAACAATAGGTAGCATTTGTTGAGTGTCTTCTATGTGCTCTATATCTTTTTCCTTACATTATCTTATTTATTTCTTACAACAGTCATATGGTTTTACTTTTATTATGTCCATTTTACAAATAAGGAAACCAAGGCACAGAGATTAAGTAAGTTGCCCAAAGTCGCATAGTAAGTGGGCGTGCTTTTAGTCACAGTGCAATTGCTACTCCTAAGTATAAGATAGGTCTTTTTTTCATGCCCGGCAACGGATTGCAACCCTCAGTGTCACGCCCGTACCGGGGACCGGCAACGGGATCACAACCCTCGGTGTTGCGCCCGCCCCGCGCTCAACCAGTGAGCGGGAACCGGTCTCCACATGGGATCCGAACCTCAGCGGGAGCGCCTCCGTGCTCCCAAGCAGCGCACTCTCCAGTGCGCCACCGGGCTGGCCCTGTACATGTATTTTAAACGTAAATCAATGGTGTTCCAGTCTTAGCACTAATCTCAATATACCTAAAAGCTAGAACTGGCTAACAGTCTATCATTCTGCAACCTCAGCTTTAAAGTTTTGAAAACTGGAACTCAAATGTTAAAGTTTTCCTAGAATACATAAGTGCAAGGCATGAAAGAACATGCTAATCTTCTATTTTATTGTTAGTTTTGAATGCACACGAAAGATTTAATGGGCTATGATCAGTCAACACAGTAAAATGACAGATTCTGCATGCTCTTTTTTA